GGGGGGGGGGGGGGAGCATGACTAGATTACATCAAAATAAGCATGATGGACAAAATATAGTTGCATATGAATTTTATACGCTTCTACTAATAAGTGGTTCAGAACACACTAGTATGATAGTTATTAGATGTTTGGACTCTTAAAAGAAAAGATTACTTGAATTTTAAGATAATAGAAGATTTTTGAGATCAGTAAACTCCTTTTGGTCAAGGGAGTTTCATATACAACACTTTTTTAAGGTAATGGTGCTGCCGAAAGCTGTAATAGTAGCAGTAAACAACATAAAAAAAATGAAAACGGACAATCTAAAAAAAATTGCAACAGAGAAATGAACTTAGTTATTACAACTTTTCTCTATAGCTGCAACTTTTCTTTTTGAACTTAGGTAAATGAAAATTAACAAATAATGGAAGAAGATACTGACTAATAACATTTTAGACATTTGCAGGGGTAAATCTTCTTCTAAACTACCATAATCAATTCAGAATCCCAAATCTAATCCTTCTTTTTCCACTTTGGATTCAATTGCTGAACCTAGTAATCTAATTTAATTAAAGAAAATATTCCTACTTTCAAGAAAATTAACACAAAACTAACTATTATCAGTGTAAATTCTACTTAGGGACCACAAAGTCACCCTATAGAGAATCATTTCTAGCTGCAAAATAATTTAACATTCAATCTTCAACTGCCTTTTAATTTGTATATAAAGGTGGCCTTTGAGACAAAGCTAAAGGTGACTTTTACAAAGCCAGCAACTAATTTATTTGTGAGAGTGAAGGCTAAGTTCATGATACGAATGGTGGTGGCGGCAACGACAAGATACTAGATGGAAATTTAATGTAATCAAGATAGTGAACAATATCAATCAAGAAATTTACTTTTACAAGAGTTAGACGAAGTTTTCTTACCGTTATGTCATCCATAAGTCTTGAACAACTTGCTTCATCGGAACCACTTAAATTAGAAATAATATTGAGAATTCCAGTAGAAACTCCATTTTGTTAAACATAGTAAAACTACATCACTTAATTTGTCGTACAAATTAGTGGAGAGGAATGATACAGGAACAAGGAAGAAACAGAGATAGTGCGACAAGAGAAATTTATATATTCGGTTGTTTTAATATCTTCTTTTCCATAATCAAAGTATTTTCTTTCTCGGTCTTTTTGTTTAATTATGCATTTACTGCTAGTGAACCTCAACCCTTACAGAGCTGGGAACCTCTTGGTGCTCTGTGTTCATTATTCCCCCACTCAGTTATGAAATTTATGGTCATGGCAACCACCCAGAGGAGAAACAATGACCAAAAACAGTGACCAACTTGAAATGAATGAGGAACCATAATAAAATCCCACCTAACAATTAATAGGAGAGAGTTTCACACATGCTCCTAAATAGTCGTTCCAGCAATACAAACACAAATTAACTTCAGTATCAATCACTTTAGCACTAGATTTAGTCCATGGATGTCGATGACCTTACGCCAAGACGTGAACACAATTCACAGATGAAAGCATTTGCAGTCAACCCCATGAGAGGTCCACATTGCTGCTCAAAGTAGTCTTATTTAATTAACCTTATGACTGAATTTTAATGCACCAAAATGGTTGCATACGTTAATCTTCCTCCATCATTTATTTCATTTTGCTTTGAAATACTATGAAGGCTAGAGGATTGTGAATATGATATAGGGAGGAGATAATTTTTTATCTAGTACTTGGTTTAGTAAAGTAACTCCCAAATAGCTCCCTTTCTACTGTTACAAATAAAATTGCTTCATAGCACTCTTTTGAAAAACTCAATGATACTCTGTAAAAGTAGCAATGCAAATAGTAGTGCTAACTTTTGGCACAAATGCCAGCTTGCAATCATCCTCATCACACTATTGCTGATTTACTTTAGCTGTTGTTTAGTTTGAGCGAAATATTCTTAGGATCAAAAGCAAGTAATTGAAATACCTCATTACTTAGCAAATGTGATGCTAGTGCCATCATGCTCTGTTTCAATAGTTTTTGGTCACGCACCATGGCTTCTCGACTTTTTCGCTCCTCCTCAAGCTGAATCTTTACTTCCTTTAGCTGGCATTCTACACTCTCTCTTTTACGACGTTCTTCTTCTACCTCTTTTTGTTGTGCTTGTAGTTTCTCTTGAATTCCATTCATAGATTTCCTACTTGTTGACTTAACTCCTAATCCTTGACCACGGAAATAACTTGACGTTTCTCCAACAAATTTCACAAATGCAGCATTAACAACCGGGTCCAGATCAGTATCCTCTTCAATTTTTTGAATTTGTTCAGCAACATATTCTTTCACCTTATCCTACAAATTTTTTTATACAGGCTCTAACTTTCAATATTTATTTCTACGGACTCACATTCTAGGAATAAGGATAAGAGTTTCGCACATACATTTAATTCTGCAGAGGCATCATTAACCCAATGTCCGTTCTTCGTGTGAGTCAATTCCCAAAGTTTCTGCAAGTTTGGCTCTTTTCCAGTACTTGTATTTCTCTACCAAAACAAATCATTTTATGTTATTAAATAAAAAAATAACTAATAGAATCCTTCGAGGAAATAATATCACATTCATATTATTACAACAATAGAAAAAGGTCCATTAAAAAAAAAAACAATAATCTGGACAAACTTTAAAACAATAAAATTATGCAAGGAACAACAATGTGGACAAACTTTAAAACAATAAACTAATGGAACGAACAAGAAACTGACAACGACAAAACAGAAAACTTATGCTAAAGACAACAATGTGGACAAACTTTAAAACAATAAACTAATGGAACGAACAAGAATCTGACAACGACAAAACAGAAAACTTATGCAAAGTTGCTTTATGAAGCATATGGAATTATAGGAGAAAAAAACACAAATCATACTCTGGCCTAGAAGAATTTAAGATGTTCATACCCAATTAAGTACTTCAAGCCACGAAATTCTCCAAGATTCTAGTACAAATTTCCTTTGTTTTGAAAAGAGATAGGCCTGATAAAAGACAATCACAGACGATAGAGTTCTTACCGTTCTCTCCGATCAGCAGCAGCAAGTCTTCTTACCGTTCTTCTTATCAGCAGAAATAACAGGGGAGGAGCTCTTGAATAAGAATCGATAAGAAAAACCCTAGCAAGAATAGTTACTAGAGAATGGGCTAAAAAATCGGGAAAGTAATTAAAAGGCTTTTTGTTTTGCCGCGTTTATTTTTGGCGGAAAATTGAAAAGCTTTAGGCCACAATTGTATCCACGTATCTGGCAATGTAATGTGTATTGCCAACAAAAAAATTTATTGTTGCCAATTCTATTTATAATCTAATCTTATTATGTTAAAAATTCTGTTTTTTGCAACAACTAAAATTAATTGTTGCTATTTATTGAAATTCGGCAACAATACTATAGTTGTTGCTAGAACGTTGTTGTCATTTTAAAATTTTTAAAATTTATTATCTAAATCATAGCATATGGCAACAAAATTAACATGTTTGCCAACAAGAAAATTTTGTTGCCAAAAAGTCTATGCTATAGCAACAATTTTTATCAAGTTGTTGCCATTTATCAATTTTAGCCAATAATATTTTAGTTGTTGCTAAAACTTTGTTGCAAATTCTATACTTTCTTGTAGTGAGTACTTGTTCAAGCAAAAGGAGTTGAATTTGAGGCAGAGGAGGTGCTTGGAGTTGTTGAAGGATTATGATATCACCATCCTATATCATCCGGGGAAGGCCAATGTGGTGGCCGCTGCATTGAGTAGGAAGTCAGCCAGTATGGGCAGTCTTGCTTATATTCCGGTCGGTGAGAGGCCGCTTGCTTTGGATGTTCAGGCCTTAGCCAATCAGTTCGTGAGGCTGGATGTTTCTAAGCCCAATTGTGTGTTAGCTTGCACGGTAGTTCGTTCTTCATTATTGGAGCGTATCCGTGATCGGCAGTATGATGATCCCCATTTGTGTGTCCTTAGAGACACGGTGCAGCGCAGAGGTGCCAGGCATGTTACCTTAGATGATGATGGAGTTTTGAGATTGCAGGGTCGAGTTTGTGCGCCTAATGTGGATGGGCTCCGAGAGTTGATTTTGGAGGAGGCCCATAGCTCCCGGTAATCTATTCATCCGGGCGCCGCGAAGATGTATCAGGATTTGCGCCAGCATTATTGGTGGCGTAGAATGAAGAAGGATATGTGGCTCGTTGTTTGAATTTTCAGCAGGTTAAGTACGAGCATCAGAGGCCTGGGGGTTTATTTTAGAGGATTGAGCTTCCCGAGTGGAAGTGGGAGCGGATTACTATGGACTTTGTTACTGGACTTCCGCTAACTCGGAAGAAGTTCGACGCAGTTTGGGTCATTGTTGATAGGCTGACCAAGTCAGCACATTTCATTCCTGTGGCAGTCTCCTATTCTTCGGAGAGGTTGGCTGAGATCTATATTCGGGAGGTTGTTCGCCTTCATGGTGTACCCGTATCTATCATTTCGGACCGGGGTACGCAATTTACCTCGCGCCTCTGGAGAGCAGTTCAGCGAGAGTTGGGCACACGGGTTAAGTTGAGCACAGCATTTCATCCCCAGACGGATGGTTAGTCCGAGCGGACTATTCAGATTTTGGAGGATATACTCCGAGCTTGTGTTATTGACTTTGGAGGTTCGTGGGATCAGTTCTTGCCTTAAGCAGAGTTTGCCTACAACAACAGCTACCAGTCAAGCATCCAGATGGCTCCTTATGAGGCCTTATATGGTAGGCGGTGTCGGTCTCCGGTTGGATGGTTTGAGCCGGGAGAGGCTCGGTTGTTGGGTACGGATCTGGTTCAGGAGGCCTTGGACAAGGTCATGATCATTCAGGATAGGCTACGTTCAGCTCAGTCCAGGCAAAAGAGCTATGTAGACCGCAAGGTTCGAGATGTGGCTTTTATGGTTGGTGAGCGGGTATTGCTCCGAGTATCGCCTATGAAGGGCGTAATGAGGTTTGGGAAGAAGGGCAAGCTTAGCCCTAGGTTCATTTGTCCGTTTGAGATTCTTGATCGAGTGGGAGAGGTGGCTTATAGACTTGCTTTGCCGCCGAGCTTATCAGCCGTACATCCAGTGTTTCATGTGTCCATGCTTCGGAGGTATCACGGCGATCCAGCCCACGTGTTAGATTTCAGCACTGTCCAGTTGGACAAGGACTTGTCTTATGAGGAGGAGCCGGTAGCTATTCTAGACCGGCAGGTTCATCAGTTGAGATCCAAGAGCTTCCCTTCGGTTCGTGTTCAGTGGAGAGGTCAGCCTCCTGAGGCATCGACCTGGGAGTCCAAGTCCGATATGCGGAGCCGTTATCCTCATTTTTTCCCCGACTCAGGTACTTCTTTCTTCCGTCCGTTCGAGGACAAACGGTTGTTTTAGAGGTGGAGAATGTGACGACCCAAAGGGTCATCACCTATTTTAAATTAATTCTGTGCATCCGAGGCCTTAAGAACCTCATTTAGAGTTGCCTCGATTTACGTGCGCAGTCCGGGCGCGTAGCCGGAAAGCTTAAATATGAAATTGTATAAAAAATGCTAAGTTTTGATGTTAAAATGAATAAATTTGACCTTGGTCAACGTTTCGGGTAAACGTACCTGGACCCGTGATTTGACGGTCCTGGAGGGTCCGTAGGAAAATATGGGACTTGGGTGTATGCCCGGAATCGAATTCCGAGGTCCCAAGCCCGAGAATTGAATTTTTTAGTAAAATTGTTTTCTGAAATTATTTAAGGAAATTGGAAATGAAATCTGATTAGAAAGCGATGGTATCGGGCCCGTATTTTGGTTCCGACGCCCGGTACAGGTCTTATATATGTTTTAAGTCCTTCCTGTGAAATTTGGTCGAAAACGGACGTCGTTTGACGTGATTCCGACTTAAATTGAAAAATTGGATGTTTTATGAAGTTTGAAAGAATTCATGGATTTTGAGGATTAATTCGATATTTAGTTATTTTGGCGATTTGATTGCATGAATAAGTTCGTAGGATGTTTTTGAGGTTGTGTGTATATTTGGTTTGGAGCCCCGAGGGCTCGGTGAGTTTTGCATAGGCCACGGGGTACATTTTGAACTTAAAAATCTGCTGGTGTGTTCAGGCCTGCAGGCTTCGCAAATGCGAAGCCTGGCTCGCAATTGCGAGCTCGCAAATGCGAAGGCTGGATCGCAAATGCGAAGCTAGCCCAGGCCACTCTTCCTCGCAAATGCGAGCTACCTTATCGCAAATGCGATGTCGCAATTGCGACTACTGCTTCGCAAATGCGAAAGCTGGGAAAATATGAAGGGTTCGCAAATGCGAACCCTGTTTCGCATTTCCCACATCTGCAGAGGTCGAGGTTTGCAATTGCGAACCCCTGTTCGCATTTCCCATAACTGAGACCTGCATTTTTACACTTAACCGATTTTGAACATCATTTTCCATATTTTCTCATACTTAAACACATTTAGGCGATTTTTCAAGGTTTTCTTCTTCTCCAAATCAATTGTAAGTCATTTTTAACTAACTTCCTTCAATTCTTAACATCTTTTTAACATGATTTCAACTTCAAATCAATGATTTTCATGGGGGGAATTTGGGTGATTTGGGTAGAACCTAGGTTTCTAAAAAATTGGGGATTTGGACCTCAATTTGAGGTCTGATTTCAAAACAAATTATATATTTGAGTTCGTGGGGGAATGGGTAATCGGGTTTTGGTTCGAACCTCGGGTTTTGACCACGTGGGCCTAGGGGCGATTTTTGACTTTTTGGGTAAAACTTGGAAAAACTCTTTTTCATGCATTGGGATTGATTCATTTAGTGTTTATTAATGTAATTAAGTAATTTGTGATTAGATACGAGCGAATTGGTGGTGGAATCACGGGGTAAAGCTATACTTGAGGCTTAAGTTGTGTGCAAGGCATTGAGGTAAGTGTTTGGTCTAACCCTAGCTTGAGGGACTAGGAGTTGAGTCTTATTTGCTAATTGCTTCTTGTTGAGTACGACGTATAGGTATGGTGACGAGTATCTATACGTCGGTGTCTAGCATGACCGTGAGTCTTTAAATGGTGAATATCTTGACTTCGTTGTATTTCTCTTGTCTTGGTGATGATTCCTATTTGTTGTGAAAAGCTTGTGAAAGGAAATTGTGACCTATGAACAACGAGGAGCATTGGCTCAAGTTATATTACAATTGTGAACGTATATGAAATGGTTGAACCCTTTGGAGCATTGGCTCAAGTGGTAAAGTGAGATATGAAATAAAAGTGAAGAGGAAGAGAGAGAGTATTTAAATTGTTCCCTTGCCGGGATATTGTTGTTTATTGATTATTTTCCCTTGCCGGGACGTTGAGATTATTGATGTTGTACCCTTGCCGGGATTTAATTGTTCCATTGTGTTCCCTTGCCGGGATTTCTTTTATTATTTTGTTTATTCCCTTGCCCCTTGTTTGTGATTGTTGTTTGGGTGAGGAAGAGTGTTAAAGCACGAAAGGTGATTCCGTGCATTGTTTGTTTATTGTGAGGAAAGAGTGTAAAGCACGAAGGGTGATGCCGTGCATTGTTTGCTTATTGTGAGGAAAGAGGGTAAAACACGAAGGGTGATGCTATGCCGCACGATGTACCATTCCGTGCCGATTCTATTGATTATATGTGAGGAAAGAGAGTAAAAGCACGAAGGGTGACGCCGTGCACACTTTATTATATCATTGCTTGGCGAGGATGAGAGTAAAAGCACGAAGGGTGATGCCGTGCACTTGTTGCCTTCTGTTTCTTTATTAGTTGTGTTATTTCCTTCGTTACTGGATGACTTTTACTTGAAATTGTTATTTCCCCCATAGCATGCTCCCCCTCCCATATTGATTACTTGTCTCTGTATTCGATTCCGCTGTATATGTATATATAACTACATAGGTTTATATGGTAGTCCGGTCTAGCCTCATCACTACTTCGCCGGGGTTAGACTAGGCACTTACCAGCACATGGGGTCGGTTGTGCTAATGCTACACTCTGTGCTCTTTTGCACAGATCCAGGTGGCGGAGCAGCTTACGGTGCTCAGCAGTAGTTCGGGAGCTAGTCTTCAGTCCACGAGATTCCCGAGGTAGTCCTGCAGGCGTCCGCAAGCCCGGCATCTCCTCTATCCTTATTTATGATCTGTTTCCTTTTGTATCCGAGACAGACTTTATTCCTTGTTTCAGACAGTTGTATGTAGCACTCTTAGATAGTCCGTGAATGTTGTGACACCAGTCCCGGGTAGAGACGTATGTGGATTTTCCTTGTTATTTTGGTTTACTTCGTTAAGTCTTCCGCTAAATTATGAATTCCGCTGTTGTTTAATTATTTATCTCCTGTTAGTTTAATTGGTAAACTTGGATTTAAAACAAAAGTATTATGGATTCTAAATGTGTGGCTTGCCTAGCTTCTACGAGTAGGTGCCATCACGACCCCCGAGGGTGGGAAATTCGGGTCGTGACAATGAGGGATACTCTTGCATCAACAAATAGATTCTTATGTTTCTAATTCTTTAGACAATATTATTATTTATCAATTTTATTTAAGTTTTTCAGCATAAATAGAATTTAAGCAACTGTTCCTTATCTATGGATTGTGCTTGGACCTGTTGATTTGTTTAACTTCAAATTTTTAATATTCAGGTGACTTGAAGCTGCAGCTAGGGGTGTTGATGATAGGCTATAATTACGTATTTTAGTCGATTATTACATTCCAATTCACTGCACTTCAGTTGAGTTTGAGCTTTAATCGTTAGTGTTTTGCACTAATTGTGTGTTTTATGCCTTGTAGGAGTGATTCCGAGCTATGTAGATGTTATGGAATGAATTCGAGTGATTTATAGCTTTGAAGTCTGAGTAAAAGCTCAAGGAATTAAGCCGGGATCGTGTTCAGGGATCAACAGATGATAGTTAAGAACGAACGAAGAATCGAGTAGGCATATTGTGCATTGTCTAGTAAAATGCACATAACTTTTCGCTCAAAACTCCATTTGATATCCACAATCTATGGTTGGAAAGATAACTCAAAGGGCGCAAATTTCATGTTTTATGTTTTTCCAAATTCTAAACAGAACAGGATGAAAAATGCATGACAAGTGCGCGGCTGCGCGCCGCAGATGTGAGGCAGAAACTGGCCAAAATCCGCGGCCAAATCCGCGGTTGAATCCGCGGCTGTGGACGTCCTGACCTGGAAAAGTGTCCTTTTTTGCGTAGGAGAAGGTATAATTGTTTGGGCCCGACCCTACTTGGTATATATACATGGAAAAACGGTATTTTGAGCACCTTTGACACACTTTTGACATAATTTAGACCTAAAGAGGCCAAGGAGACCGAGGATTTGACCTAAGGAGGCAAGAACACACTGGGAGCAAGGCGGAGAATTCCTCCTTGAGTTTTTCACTTCTTTCTTCCTATTTCCACTATTGGTTATGAATTCTAGTATTGCAGTTATGCATACTATTATGAATAGCTAATTTGTTATCTAGGATTTTGATGGAACCTTTTATAGGATGAATTCTTGTTATATTTTTATATAATTAAGCCGTTGGATTTCTCTACTTGTTTAACTACGTGTTTGTTTTTGTTGATTGAATGACCATCAATTGACTGTGCTTTTAGTGTGTACTGCTCGAGAGAGAGTACATATTTAGGTAGTTGTTGAATAACATCACTCCTAACGTATGTGAGAGATCAATACGGAGGGTTTAAAGGTGGGATTAGAGATAACGAAACCTTGGTGCGATCATAGTGAGCGATGAATTAGTGCTAGCTAGTGTAGTTCGAGAGAATATATCTTGTAAATTGTGGTAGTTGCTCGAGAGAGCTACGACACTCGGAGTACTCAAGATAGGTAGAGAATACTTAGGCGAAATTATAGAAGACGTAGCGGGAAAGATTCCGACAATTGGGGAAATTATAACTCTAGACCTCCTAATCTTTTCTCCAACCCATAGTATCCTTAGTTTTTAATTTACTTCTTTAATTTGTTAGTTAATTAGTTAGACATAAAAATCTTAATATTATAACTTAGGAATTGTTCGAGCTTGTCTTCCGAGTGATATTGAATAGCTATAGTAAAATCTTAGTTCTCTGTGGGATTCGACTTCGGACTTTTAGACCGGATTATATTTGCAGCGACCGTTTATCCTTTTTAGGACTAGAGTTGGGCGTGATCAAATTTTGGCACTGTTGCCGGGAACTAACGGTGTAGTTGTAGCTGTATATATTGCTAGTTTCGAGTTTGAACTTTTATTTTGTTTTGTTTTGTTTTGTTTTTTGTATTTTTTTTATTTTATTATAACTGTTGATTTGAGAAACATGACATCTTGGAATTATGGGAATTTAGGTGTAGATAATTTTACTATTGATCCTCATACATATTGTGAAGGAAACCACCCGTATCAAAATTATCCCGAGAGCGAGTTATGTGCATCAACTCAACTTATTTGTGGAATGTGTGTGATATGTGTGGTGATAAAAATGGTCACTTTCAAGGTTGTGCTTATATTTCTTATCTCCCCCCAACCCCTTACTATGATGGTTCTACCTTTTCTTGTGAAGTTAATAGGAACAAAGAACCTGGGGATGCGGACCTGAAGGAGATTAAGGATATGTTAAAGTGCCTTCTGAAATAAAATAATGAAAAACAAATGCAGATAGAAAGGAAAGAGGCAACTATTCGTAACTTGGAGGCTCAAGTGAGTCAAGTGGTTGAAGTTTTTAATGCTCCGCAAGCTAATTTTGGGGATATGAGCCTAGAAGGGCGTGAATTTAAGGTGCTAATTGAGGATTTCAGAGTAGAACATCAACAACCTAGCCTGCTACAATTTGAGGATGTCGATATTGAAGAAGTGATACTAGAGTCAGCCAATGACATTGAGGATATAAATTTTGTTGACTCTAGTATCATTGATGTTGAGGATGCTGAAAGTCCTGAAGTTCATGCGTGTGAGCGCATTGGCCCTTACTCCAACTATTTTTCTACATTGTGCTTAGAATGACAATATGAAAATAGAGTCATCCGAGCCGATTGAGAAGTCAAGGAATGCGGAACAAGGTGCCTACATTCTGGAATTTTTCTTGCTAGAAAGGCAGGACTACATACCTCATCTAAAAGCTAAGAAGTGTAGAATAGTACAATGGTTGCTTGGGCCAATTAGATTTGTTCTCCACCCATGGAACATAGCCGAAAACTTGATGCCAAATTGGAGGTTCAATTCATAAGCTCAAGGTGGAGGCAGAAAGTGATTCACGTCGTGCCACGACGTTAAATCAAGCACTTGTTGTGAGGCAATCCAACTTTACTGCATTCTTTTATTTTTTTATTATTATTTTTTATTTGTATTATTTTTGTAGTGTCATTTTTTGATTTTTTTAGGAGCATGGAAAGCAAAGCTATTGGAAGTATGCAACAGCAAACCAGATGGTTGGAACTAAGTGTGAGGTACCTGCACAAAGGACCAAGCCTGGGAGAAGTCTGAGTACCCCATGAGTTGCTAGAACTTCGGCCTTTGGCCTACCATGAAGTTTCTTTTACCCTCTTATATTTATGATGTGCATTGGGGATAATGCACAATTTTAAGTGTGGGGAGAGGAGATTGTCTGGGTGACTTTCTATGCTACTTTAACTGTGTTAGTATTCATTAATACACAATTTTCTAGTATAGTGACACTAGGAATGCGGTGAATCTCCTTTTAAAAAATTTAATTGAATTTCTCAAGTTGCGATTAAATTTTGGTTCTGCGTCTTAGGCCTTTTATTTACCATAAGAAAATTGGCGCATCATCTTCGTTAAAAATGAATGTTTGGCGTTCTTAGTACTTTCATCTTTTAGTTTTTCCAACCAATATTTATTGGGATTTATAAAGTTGCACCTGCCGGCACACAGAAATTAAAAGAGGGGGGGGGGG